CAGCATTACTCCTTTGTAACTGTCTGAAAATTGAATTTTTTTATATCACACCATTGCGAAACAGGAGTACCTCGAAGTTATGCTCTGGCTTATTTTTTAAATGAAATTTTGATTCAGCGATTGTCTTGATTTTGGATCACACGTAAGTATGAGTCAATTTGTGCGTTATTTTCCATAGCCTTGAGAAAAACGATGGTTCGAGCCCACAAACAAGCCTGGGTTTGGCAAGATGAGTGGTGGGGACTCACTATTAAAGACATCCGAGAAATTGAGCGTCAAACTCAAGAAGCTCTAGCTGCAAAGATGGCGCACGCAAATGAGCTTGAAGGCGACGGTCCGAAAAGTCCTTTGCCTACACCGACGTTGAAAGAATCTCCTGTAGATGTTTCTGAACCGGCTCCGGAAGAAAACCCTGGCACTTCGATTACGGATGCCGCACGACTTGTTCTTCGGGTTCCCGATAGAAGGCCGTCACGAGGTGAGAATGAGCCTCGTGTCGTTTTGTATTTTAACCGAGTCCTTGGAAATTCTAAAAAAATTTCCTGGAGTAATTCAGTCTTTTCTTTTTTGAAAAGTATCACCCGCTCATGCGAAAAGCCCTAGGGCAGTGTGTAATTGTGAATACTGTATACTTAAATCAGTCTGAAAGTTCTGACGACGCAGTACTTTCCGTCTGAAAAATTTGAGACTACCGAAATATAGTCATGTTTTCCTTAAAATTTGACGGACTCGTGAAATAAGTCTTGACCCGATATTCGTAAGTCCTTTTTACGAAAAGACCACATCCCATCTCATGAGAAATAATTTTGACTGGTTGGCCTTTTATTGAACGCATGCAAAATTGTAACATATTGACCATTCAGGAATCGAAAACGGGGAATTTCCACTTCGTAACCTTTCAAAATTAGTACATATTTGAAGCTTTTTATAATTTTCTGTTGAAAAATTCCATGATGATTTTCCTCTTTCGCTCCGTGCAGAGGTTAGAGCTTACTCCAATGCATTTATTCCTTGCACTTACCGACGAAAACAAATGATGCAAAATGTCTTTTAAATGATTCTCTCTGAAGCGAAGAAAATTCTTTCGTTGAGAATATCTTACAAAAAGTTCTGTACATTGTAGAAATACGCTGTGGACGAAAATTACACAGTACAGTCTCCCATAATTTTATTCATTTTCGGGAAACGTTATATTCATGTGAGCATGACCCGGTAAATTGTGTTCACCTCTTAAATTAATCGATGCCCTGTTTTCGTTTAAAGATCTGCTTTAATAGTGTTTCACCATTTACAGGAAGCCGTAACCTTGAAGAAGACGTTCTCACTGCGAGAATGGAAAGCATTGCTCACGACTCCGATCAAGGATCAGATGCCAGTGATGAATTCTACGATGCCAAGGGTATCTTCATGCCGTCTCCCCAGCTCATGACTTGAATTTTGAAATTGGACATTTTTTGCGCAGATGAGTTTTCGGAAACACTGTCGCTAACTAAGTGGAACTCGATGGAACTTGTTCCTGACGGGGACAACGTGCAATGTTCGGGTCCGAGTTGCCCGAAAAGAGAAGGTGATCTGTGAAAACAAGCTTTTTTGGTCGCTTCGATTTAACGTCAAACCAGTGCAATTTGCGATGTGCCATTTCATTNGAGGAATTGACGGCGAAATACGAGAGGCAAATATCATCAAGAAGTGCTGATTCGTATTTATCACATGGCGTTTCCCCTGTGCCACCGAATTGTTCAACTGTATGTCTGGTTTTGGTGTTCCATGGTGGAAGTGTTCTTGGTAAGTCTTGTCATTCATCAATGTTCAGTCATGTTTCAGGAGCAGTATTTATCTTCGTTGAATTGCCATTCGATTCATTGTTCCCGGCCCTAAATAGACATTATTTACTTGGGAATTGTTTTTTCTTCCAATAGAGGTTTTTCGCGGATTAATTGAAATTTGATTGCAGATTGTGAATTCTTTTTTGAGCATATCCATTCGAACGTAACGTGATGACATCCAGCCTGTAAGTTCCGTAGAAAGTACCGTATTTCGGTCTGATTTCGACTTTTTCTGGTGGAAAATGCTCTGGAGTTAATTTTCTGAGCATGAAATATTAATTTTTTTAACCGGATAATAAAGGCTTTTTGTCGTATTTTTTGGAAAATCGCGATAATTTTGTGTCGTCGGGGTCATTTTAAAATGAGTGTTATATTGGTCGAATATTTTGAAAATACAGTTTCGACATTGGTCCAGCTGTTGTTTTTTAAACTTATCAGAATGAATTAAATTCAAGGTAATCTTCTTCTTTTGTACAGTATATTGACATTTGGAATTAAATGTGCATCTGGCTTTAATTTTGATTACGGCCTTTAAAATTAATGTGAGTTATCGTGAATAGAGACTTATATATGTTATATGTAGAGTAGAGTTACGTTATAACGAGTTAATTCTTGAACTGAAATGTATTCATCAAGTTATCTGTCCAATAAGCGCAATATTAAACAGATTTCGGTATAATTAACTTTTCACTGGTCCAAACGGCTTCCTCGTGACAAGATTTTACTGTTAGGGGCCTAAAAACTGTCCAAAGATTATTTTAATTTGGCCATATTTTTGTCGAACACCAGGTAACGAAAAAGTTGTAAATTGGTCGATTTCGTCATTTCACGATTTCGCGAATTATTACAGGTGTTTATGATCAATGGTTTCAGCTGGATTAATGGCATTAAGAGTAAATGGGTGAAATTGATCGATGGCATATATCACATCCCGTTCGTTGTCAAAATGTTGTTAATTGTGTTCCACAGATGTAAGTGCGGAGATGTCGTCGAAAAAGTCGGATGTTACTACATTCCGTGGGGCATTCGAGTCCGTGATGAGACAACATTATCCGTGCCTTGTTGGACGCGTTGTCGTTCAACTCGTTCCGTGTCCTGCAATGTGCTCTGAAGCCCTCGGATTATTTTCCAGGTAAATAAATATTTGTGTGAGGGCTAATTTATGTTGTTATTTTTAGAATTGCATCAATGAGATTTTGATGTTCGAATGTGATTTGCAGTTTAAGTCCGTATTCCTTCGACGTGTCGCCAACCGCCAGCGATGGTAACGTTTCCATCACCCGAGACGCCATTCCCATCGGCGCCGTGCCGCTTTTCATGACTAATTCGCCGGAATATCACGATGCAGTCTCCAGAGTCATTTCACGAGCCAATTCAGTCTATCACGAATTTTTGCGGAGTGAGGAAGGAGTCGGTTTTAGTGGCCAAGTTGTGATTGTGGGAGATTCCGCGGGAGCTATTTTTGCCTACGATGCTCTGTGCGGACATGATCGGCCTGAGAAACGACTGAGTTCGGAGAGCATTGATAAGGATGGACTTCATGAGCAGCAACACTCAAAGGTAATGATTTTTTGTCGATTGTCAAATAATGTTGATGTCTGGGGGACTTCCGATTGATCTTTCAAGTAGAAAGATGATCCCAAAAATTTCAAGTTGGTATGCCGCGGGAAAGACAGCTTTTTTTGTGTGTTTCAAATTCTGGAGAAAGCGTGGATCCAATGCGTCATATTTTGTGGTGAACACCATATGGTTGAAAGATTCAAGTAAATTGCGTGATGCAGTGATTTTTTAACATTTAATTTTCCATTTTACAGTACTGTATTTGATGACCGTTACTTTTTGAAATGCTGTCAGGTTTTATATAATTTTGCAGTGCTCATGCAAAAAATAACTGGAAAGTTTCACTTTGATCGTGCATTAAATTGAAAAAATGTTTTACCGAAAAAATTCCAAAATCATGAGCTTTTTATTTTTACAATCACACGTAGTATAGAAATAACCAATGTCGCTCCCAAGTGGGGCAGCCTTCGTTCATTTACCGTATATTTTGATAGGGTTTTTTCAAAATTTAAAGTGACTGTCCATTTTTTCCGACTGCCATGGACACCAAAAAAAGGCATACGGATTTCAAATGAACCTTCACTTGGAAAATTTTTGGGTGGCGTACGGGTTTCTTCATATAAAAAAAAATGCTACTACAGCATTACTTTGAGCTACTTAATCACCTTTTTTCGTACATTTCTTATTGGCAAGTGTTCGTTCTGTTTTAAATTATTTAAAGGTGCACGCTAACGTGAGTTGGTACTATAATGTGTTGGAATCGGTTTCGGAGAGCGAGGCCTGGGAACCGGGAAGGAAACCAAGTTGTCAGAAAAGTTTTAGACTGTAAGGGTGCAACAGGCCTACACCACAACCACTGCCTCTACCAGTAGTGCGAGGCAATTTTCGTAAGGATAGCCGAGGACGAGGGTCCTCGATGAGCTAAAGTTCCAACCAGCAACTAAACAATGACCATCACGCACTTGAAGCAACTTTATTTACTTGGCTAAAATCTTGAGTCGATTGTCCCGCCTTTTTATGAGAACATTTCAAAGTAAGCTGTACGAAACTGAATTTTAAACCATATCTTTCGTCAATCTATCTAAACTTCCGTCCGTCTTCTGTTGAGTTTATCTTAGTGAGTTAGTTTGAGCAAAACTGCTGCAAAAAATTATGAATGAATGAACGGATTTGTCAGTGCCTTATGAGTTCTATTCCTTGTATTCCAGCGTAATTTTGATTGTTTGGCTGGAAAGTTTGGAAGATGTCATCTTGGAAGCTTGATCTTTTCCTCCTTGTCTTAAATCATGTATAGTAGCTGCGACAGTCAAGCTGGTCAGCTGGATTTTGAAGTATCCAGCTTCTTTCTTATGGGATCTCCTTTGTCGATAATTTTGGCATTCCGTCGGATTCAAAACTCTGAGGACAGGAACGGTGAGGACGAGTTAGAAGTGTTGTCAACATCAAGTTTCACCTAATTATTCATTTTTTAAATATTTTTGCAGGTATGCCACCGCGTCCTGCTTGCGGTCAGATTTACAATCTTTTCCATCCTGCTAATCCGGTGGCCTCGAGAATTGAGCCACTTTTGGCGACACGTTTTGCTCAGCTGCCGCCAATACCGATTCCGCGGTATTCAAAATATCCGATGGGCGATGGAACGCCGACTATTCTTTGTGAGT